AAGGTCAACCCATTCTGGATACTCCTCCCCCCACTATGAGAAGAGGCGTATCAGGTAAGTACCAAGGCCCTTTCTAAAATATATATTTGAGTGATAATTATTTTCAATACAGCTGTTTTTGTTAGGAAAAACTGGCAGGACTTCCATTATACCATTTTTGTTAAGAAAAGCAAATTTACATTAAATTGTAAGTGCATTGTAAAGTCCATATCTGTAAGTAAAATGTGTTATTCTTGCCTTTCAGTACCTTTTGAATTATGTTCCTACTTGAGATTGATTTTCTTTATCTTATGTTAAAAGTTTTGGCATTAAAACATCATGTCATTAATCATAATTTATCAAAGTTACATTAAAGTCAACTATAATTATAATTAAATGCAGCATGCTTGAACTTTTTTGTTTTTTTATAAATTTGTAGGATTACCAAGCCATTAACTTTTGCTGACTGTGTTGGTGATGAACTACCTTTAGGATGGGAAACTGTTTACGATCAACAGATTGGGGTTTATTACATGGACCACATAAATCGTGAGTAACCTGTCTTGTTTTTAAGTTACACAGTTATAAACTCAAACCTGGATCTTAAATATTCATCTATATATAGACAAATCAGAGCTGGGCTAGGGAGAAAGATACAATAAAATTATAAAATTATTGCTATTGTGGATGCTGTCCTTCACTATAAAAAAACATGCACAATTCTCATGGGTTTAGGATTGTCTTTTCATAACTTGTTTGAAGATTTCTATCATGACTTATTTTATTCGAGATAGAACTATTGAATAATATTAGCAAGCTTGATAAGTGCTAGTGCACATGCTCAAATATCTGTGATTTTATATAAATTCTTATTTCTTACAAATTTTGGATTTAGTATTGCTTTTTAAAAATCTTTAATCTTTCCATTGATGGTAGCCATACTAGAAAACTCCAAGATACTGTGTTTGAATTAGATTAAATGGCAGATGGACAATGGCAGCAGAGAGAGAAAAGAGCAGAAGAAAAGACAGTGGAAAGAGATGAAAATGAAGGATTAAAACTGAAATAATAGGACTTGTAGATATAAATAACTTTTTTGAAAGAATTGGAATTGCTTCCCTTTTCTTCCTCTTAAAAATATCAGCATACAAACCCAAAACATATGTTAAAATGATTGCACGTTAAATTGAAAACAATGAAAATTTAATCTTAATCTGAACAAATGCCTCCTGTTCAGCCTTTTGATTCCTTCTTAACAGATACAGATAATAAAAAGTTAAAATAATCCTAAATTAAAAGAGTGGACCTGGCTATCTTAAATTAGGAATCTAGTGTGTTATAGCACATTAGTTCAACATGTTTCTTGCTTAAATGTTACTAATTAAGAAGCTGACTTGACTTAAACAGTGTCAAGAGAGAATGAGAGCTCCATTTATACCCCATTGTTTAATATTAAATTGCCTTTCCAGACAGAAAAGCTATTTACACTATTGCATTTTTATTATTCATAATAAATAATAATTTTATTAATAATAAAAATATAATAGCACAAATAACATGATAATACAAGATCTAACAGCAGAGATAAATTTCCAGGATAGTAATAGAAATTGCTGTCAATTATAGATTCTTGATTCCAGATTAAATGGACCTACAGTATGTAAAATCTCGCATTAAACTGTAGTATTAACATAGGATGTTGCTTGTTTTCTATCCAGATCCGGCACTTACTTGACACCACATAATTGTAATCCAGTCCTCCTGCAGCCCGTTTTTGGTCTCCCCAGCCTCCTGCAGCATTCTGCCAGTTGAAAACGGCAAAGTGCTGCTGCCGGCAGAGTGCTGCTGGAGGCCATGGAGGCCAAAAACGGGCCAGGGGAGTGCATGTGACCACCACCCCATGTCCCCTTTCGATGGGTGGTCCTTTGATATTTCCAGGCTGGCCCCGCGGGCCAAATTTAAGCACCCCGTAGGCCGGATCCTGATCCAGCCCATGGGCCTTGAGTTTGACACCCGTATTTTAGAGAGTTGTTGAGGTCTGTATCCTCAGGATTACCTGAGTAGTGCAAATGTGTGTGGAGTTTTCTTGGAACTGCTGAAAGGACTGTATAGATGATGTCGTATCCCTCTCCCTCTTTTGTGAAGTGGTTGTTTTGTTTCTGCATATACCATGTTGCTCAGTTTTGTCTGGGTGTTTTATCCTTGGGGTGGACAAGCTTCTGCCTTGGTGTAAAGTGTGTATATATGATGTATTGGTTGAAAATCCTCCTGAGCTTTTCATATATTCTTGCAACGTATCGAATGACAATGTAGCTTTGTTACTCTTCTTTATTATGGAGCAGCTCTTTTTGGGGATTTGATGAAGGCTCAGTTGGGATAGCCACATGTTCCAAGGGTTTCCTTGATGTGTTTTAGTTGTTTTTTCCTCCATCTTTTTTAAGCCAAAAAAAAAACCCTATGAATTTCAGGGGATGTAACTGATCAGTTTTCCTTACTGTTTGCCACTGAAACATTTGGAAAATATGGATTTTTTCACATTTCATGCAATATTCATTAATGAAATGAATATTGCTATGGAAAATTCTAATTCAACTTTCAAGTTCATTGAAGGCTTTGAACAAATTAGTGACTGAATTTGTATATAATCCTGACTTGATCATGAGACATCCATTTCAGTTTTCAAATATAGGTAATTATGACCATTTGTTTAATGATAGTTCAAAGTTACGGCCTTGGAAAAAGAAACTTACAATCTTTACTCACACTTACAACCATCATACCACCCTGCAATCATATGATCACAGTTCAGGTGCTTATCAATCAGATTGCACCTGAGACCAATTGCAGCGTCCTATAATCATGTTGATTTCTGGCAAAATATACTATTAGGGAAACAGAATTCACTTAATGATTATATGATTTGCTTAACATCCGTGTGATTTGTATAATGACTACAGTGATTTGCTTAATGACCACCATAAAAGTAATCATAAAATCAGTTTCGACTTGACTTACAATCTCAACTATTGTGATGAGAATTTGGGGTCCATTTATAGTTTCAAGTCAAGGACTAATCGTAGTTGCAGTTTGTTGCTGCATCCAAAACGACTTTGTAATAGTAATTTGTAAGAAAAAGACAAATTGAGAATCATTGTCTTGGCTTGTTGAGATAAAATATATTTAAATATGTTTTCCGGTTAGGACAAGATAAGAAACTATACAGATAGTCTCGACTTACAACCACAATTGAGCCCAAAATTTATGTTCCTAAACAAGACATTTGTTAAGTGAGTTTTGCCCCATTTTATGATCTTATTTGCCACAGTCATTAAGTGAATCACTGCACTTGTTAAATAAACCTGCTTGTCAGAAGGTCACTGAAGCTGATCACATGACCCTGGAACACTGCAACTGTTGTAAATATGAACCAGTTGCCAAGCATCTGAATTTTGTTCATGTGACCATGGGGATGTTGCAGTGATCGTGAGTGTGAAAATGGTCATATGTCACTTTTTTCAGTGCCATTGTAACTTCAAATGGTCACTAAATGAATAGTTGTAAGCTGATGACTACCTGTAGTTACAAAATAAAACAAATATTCCAGTATCTTCAAAGGGCAAGAAATGGAGCAGGTTTATGGAAGCAGTGATCAAATTATGTCTAATTGTTAGGTTGATTCAGATCATTATCTATTTAGCATTACACCTTGTATAACTTGGTTGTAAAGTAAATTTCTTTATTACATTTATTAAAGTACATTTCTTTATTGATTTCTATTGAAGTCTTAATAGACTGGATAGAATACAGTTTTTCAAGTTTAATTTAAATGTCAGTATAGTTTTTTTTAGACATTAGGTTTTTTTAAAATAAAAATGTGATTTAATTGCCATAATATGTGAATTTTCTACATCGCTCTGTTTTTTTTATTTAAAATGTTGGAACACTTTTTTCTTTCTAAATCAGAACTCACACAAATTGAAGACCCAAGAGAGCAATGGAGAAGAGAACAGGAGCGCATGCTAAAGGAATATTTAATTGTCGCTCAGGAAGCACTTAATGCCAAAATGGAAATTTATCAAATTAAGCAGCAACGATTTGAGCTAGCACAAGAAGAATATCAACAGTTGAACAAAATGTGTGAGGATGACAGTTATTCTTATGCAAGTAGTAAGTTTGCATTTCCTCTTCAAATAATATAAATTTAAAGTTAAGATTTTAGCTAAAAATCCCAATCCTTCAAAAATTGTTCTTGATAACTTCAGCGTTTTGCATTACTGAAGACTATTAACTACATTTGATACTATGTGTACTTTATTTATTTATTTTTATTTAATTGCAGTTTTTAAATGACCTTTACCTTTAAAAAGTCTTAGGAAATTAGCTGTTATACTTGCAGAATAAAAGACCAATCTAAATTTTATGTGGAGGCTGGGATTCTGTTTCACAATAGTTTTATTTAATGGAAAGTTAGTATAAGATATATTGTTGCTAACATTGGACTACGGGTATTAATTTTATTACCAACAAAGGGACTATCACTCATCTTTATACAGTGTAGTAACATGCTTTATTTATACTGTATCATACTTTTTCTCCACAAACTCATGGTAGCTAGCCTAATAGCCAGCATGGGAAATCAACCATTGAGCTTGCATGACTGAGGATAAATGTGAACATGGATCTTTCCAATTATAGTCCAGCCATTAAATACTAGATTTCTTCGGCTTCCTACAGTGGCTGTTATATGTTGCTGTGTTCTGAATGTGCCTCTTATTTTTCCCTGAAAAACAAACAATGAACTAAGTGGGAATGATTTTACTTTCGTGTAGAAATCTTTCAGAATCCTGACTTCTATTGCTTATTCTAAGTGAAACAATAGAAAAACAAATAGACATTTGTTTGAGCAAGTCTCCTTGATTACATTGATATTAAACTTTGCAACTTATGTGAAATGAACACTGTTTCTTTATGAACAGCCTACCAAGTCAACAAGAATATCTGATAAATATAATAACATTCTGATATTCATTTTCTGGAATTCAGAATGTAATATTTTCAAAATGAATGTTATCTAGACCAGAAGAACTAAATTTAAGTTAAACTACTGAAATATTTTCAAGTAACTTGTATTCTAAGACCAAATTGTTCAATACATATAGAGCAACACATTTGCTCTTAAACCAACCCAGTTGTGCAAATCTAGAGATTTCATTTGATTTGGTCATATCAGTAGGAAATATTTATGCAGAAAATAGTGTGCATTCTCTTTTTAAATATTGGTAACTGTTAACAATACTTCTATATTTAATCATTGTCCTCTTTTTGTGAAGTAAATAGTGTGTTCCACTTATGAATGAATGCTTACTTTCCCTCTTCAGCAAATAATGATGTATAAATTGGAAGTTCAAATTATTCAAAATAAATAAATATTTTGTGTAGAATATAAAAGTTAAGAATGTAAAAAGTTATAACATGAGGATAGTTCTTTGGAATCCTGTTATATTTATAAGACAGCTTAGTATAGATGTAGATCTTTTGGCATAGATAAAAATGAAAGAAAAATGCCACATATTTCAAGTGTGTGGATGGTTTAAATAATTCAGGAATATAATTTTCATCTAAAAAATGAATCCATATTCATTCTTGAGACAAAACTAAATGGATATATAGATCTTACAGAATCTTTAAAAAACCAATAGTTTGATAGCATTTCTACTATATTTTATTTTTTTCATGGTAGTGTACTTTGAATTTTTGGTGCTGCTCCTGCAGATTTTTAGATAACAACACTTATATTTTAAAATCAAAATACTTATATTATGATTTAATTAGTTTTAAAACTATTTTTCCACAATTCTATTACTCCACCCAATCGTGTTTTAAACAATTACAGTTATCTTTTGCAAAGACCCTTCTTTACATATTCAACAGAAATATTAGAATACCTACCTTTCCTTTATTTGATTATTTACTTACTTATTTATTTATTTTTACATAATTATTTGACCTTTCATGTCCAAAATAATATGAAATAAAAATCCTTAAATCTTATACTTTTTCACATATGTTAACAGTTGCCAAGCATTTGCTCTGTTTAAGGATATAATTATTCTGATTAATATGTGGTTGACATTCACAGAAGTTTTTGGTGGCAGGGAGGTAGACAAAATGGCAACATAGAATATTGTGGTGGAATAAATGTACTGCTACACTTCTAATTTTCTTTATACATGCTTTGTTTAGTGTCATATTTTATGGCACAGCATACACTGCAATATTAAGACTGCATTGGATATCATTTGGCTGACAGGGATGACAGGAGGGACGGTCAAAAATAATGTTAAAAAGTGTTACTTCACAGAAAGAGTAGTAGAAGCTTGAAACAAACTTTCAGTAGAGACAGTGGGCCAATCATCGGTAACTGAGTTTAAAATGATCACGATAAACACATGTCCCTCACCCAACAAAATTTAAAAATAAAATAAATTTAAAAATAAACTTCAAAGGGCAGATAGGTCTTTTTCTGCTATCGGTTTTCTTTGTTTCTGTGTTCTATAATAGTAATATAGGGTGCAGCTGCTTTATTCCAGTTTGTCTATTTAACTCAGTATTTTTTAAATTGACTACAAACAGACCTTGGGATTTCTAATCCTAATTTATGAGACAAGGAATTAAATCTGGAAACTTTTGAATGCAAAGCAGAAGCTTTGTCCTTGAGCTACAGATAGTTAGGAATCAGATAATGTGTTAAACTAGTGAAGATTTCATAGGCATGGTTCCCATGAACGTGGAATCAAATGCAGGTGGGAGATCTACAAAAGCTGCATAAGGAGGACCTCTAGATCAGGGATCCCCAATCCTTGGTCTGTGGACCAGCACTGGGCATGCCAGAAATTGGGCCACACAAATAAGCGAAGCCCCATCCATGGGATGCAACCAGCATGCAAAACCATGCCCTCTCTGGTCCATGGAAAAACCTCTTTCCACGAAACCAGTCCCTGGTGCCCAAAAGATTGGGGGCCACTGCTCTAGATCCATAAATATCTACTAGTGTTGAAGTATTAGTTCTTTAGCTAGGATAGTCTTATCTTCAGTCCAGTAATATAACTTCTTGAATAAATATTTGGCATAGAGTTTGCTGATTGTATTTAAAAGATTGATTGGATGATAATTGTGAATGGTATTGTCAATAAATGTAAAAAGTCCTGTCAGAAATGCCTTGACTGAATGAAGAAAATAAATTATTGCTTAATTCTTATTAGACAGTTTAGTTGTAAGAGGCTTTAGAGAATTGCTATTTTAATGGGAGAGTCAGGATAAAAATGAATAAATAGCATTTTCTAGCTTCTTTAAATACACAATGGCTTTTAGTCTTAGATTGTACTTCATTCTGCTCTCTAGATAACATGCTAAAGATATGAAGGTCATATAGAATTAAAAGAAGCCTGGTAAAGGACGTTGGTCTTACCTGAACGTCTATTTTCTGATGGGAGGAGGGAATGGTCACACGTGGNCTGACGTCATGCATTGGAGCAGTGGGGAGGAGACAAGGGAGTTGGTCCTGGATGCCCAGTAACAGAGGGCTAATAGGCGTAAAGAACAGTTACGCAGTTACAGGAGATAATTGAACTCAGCTGGTGGTAATTAGGCTCCTCTCAAGACTATAAAAGGAATGACTTTCCACACACTTGTCGCAGGAATCAACGTATTTACTCAGTTGTGGTTGTACATTGAGAGCTACTGTAGTACATTTACGGCTCAGTTGTGGTTGTACATTGTACATTGAGGGCTACTGTAGAGAAATTCTCAGGACAAATCAATAAAAAGTAGTGCTGATTCTAAGGCCCACTAAAATCCCATACACTTAATAAAATAATAATAAAATAAACCAGGAACCCATATATATATATAACTTGATTAAGAAAATTAATCTGGACCATATCAAAAGCTTTTCAACATTAAATATAGTAGTACAGCAGAATCTCTTATTTCCTCAATTATGTCCAAAGTATCAATTAATAAATGTAAATTTTCTTTTTTAAAAAAAAATCCAGACTGAAAGGGATAAAAACATATGATAAAACCTTCTGCAATCACCTGGTCAATAGAGCAGGTAATATCTTTACTTCAGTGGTAATATCTTTGTATCAGCATTAATTAATGAAATCTCTAACTTGTAACTCTAAATTAGAGTCTTTACTAGGTTTTAAAAACATTGTTATATAAGCCTCATAAAATGATAGGGGCAATTTACCTCACTTAAGAGATTAGTTCATTACATTAAGTGCTTAGATAATCAACAAAATAATCAGAATAAAATAAGAATAATGTTATCATACTATGGGATTTCTTGATGGGTTTTCATAATTAATAAGAAGAGAGCTTTCTAAAATTGTACAAAATCAGTTCCTGATGATCAGAAGTTATCAGATTATGAACTGGTGTAAAGCATCTGAGCTATTTCAAAACAATAGTTGTGGTTTCATGGAAATCCTACTTTTGCAGCTATGAAAATTCACTGCAGCCCTAATTAAAGATAGTTAATTTAGCGGGTGTACAAAATCCAGGCTCTTTGTTTGTTGTGGAAAGAACTCAGCAGGGATTGCCTTTTTTTTAGATGAATACGAGTCTAATTAATTAAGATAATGCACAAAGTAAGCTTTGCCTCTTTTTTAAGGTCAGCTTACAAACTGTGTATCAATTGTAGGTAACATTTCTTATTTTGAACCTTTCCTCACTTGCACCTGAGCTTGGCATAAACATACTCTCTCAACAATTTCTTTCTGCTATGTCTCCATGACATTGACTTCATTTCTTCCTAGTTTATGAATGAGAAAGGTTTCAGTTCTCCTTTGTTGTACAGGTATTAAAATGGCTTTTCACTCTAAAGTTAGCAGCATCCAAAGTAACTGCTTTTAAAATCTTTGCTACTCATCCTGTTGACCCATAATGGGCGGGACCTACCAAGTGCTAATTGCTTGTATCAGACTGATGTTGACACACAGTTGTGGCCAGCATTTCTTTGCTATCATTCTGTTGTCCCCACATCAAGAGCTGAACACAGCACTGCATAAAATATGCCTATACAGCAAAATGTATTCCAGAACTATTGGTGGGAAGGGAAGGGGCTTTTCTGCTTCTGCCAACCAAAGGAAGCATGGTTAAGG